CCTCTCTCTCTCTCTCTCTCTCTCTCTCTCTCTCTCTCTCCCTTTTCACGTTAATATAGCATGTACAGTACATGTATGTTAAAAGACTGTTTATAAAACACCTACCAAAACCAGTACAAGCCTCTTCTAGAATGTGATAGTGTGCGATTCTCTGAACGGAAATCTCACATGCACGATTAATTCTGTTGTTTGTTCCCAGTTCTGCGCGTGGGCGCGTTGCCTCGCTGACAAGTTTTCTTCACAGCAGGAGGTAGGCGGAATAAAAGAAGAACTGGCCATTCTAAGGAGACACCTTTTAGCGAATGAGGCAACGAAAGTATTGGATTTCCTAAAGCAAGGGGAAGACGGCACAGTCAAGGAAGAAAAAGTTGCGGAGTCGAGTGGACGGAGCTTACGTCGGGTTGACATTGTTGTAGGTGGGGTTGGAATTGAACTCTTCTTGGACTTATGCTTAGCCGATCTCGTTTTGGCAGCCGGGCTGGCCAACAGCGTGACCTTTCACCTCTCCGCCGTGCCTGAAGTCGTTTCCATGGCAACCGAGACGGATCTACGGACGATGGTGAAGGCTCTTATGGCGGTTAATCACATAGGTTTGTCTCAGTGCCACGGCCGCTGGAAGAAAAGGTTACAGGATGGTTCGTGGCAGCTCAGATCCGATGTTTATTGGACTCTACCCTTCAGCTACCTAGACATGGCGAGCGGTGCACCGGAACTGTATCAACAGCTCACCACGTCTAGGCTCGTCATCTTCAGGGGAGACCAGCACTACCGGAAGTTGGTTGGGGCCGCGGAGAATGTGTCTAATTATGCAAAGTGAGTCTAATGGTCTAATCTTAAGTGCCAGCAGGTCAGTTTAGATTACCTTAGTGCATAATTTAAATATGTTTAAGAATGATAAGAAATAATACGTAACCCAACCCCCCGCCCCCCGCCCCACAGACACACACACAAACAGCCCCCTCAACAAAGTGTAGAACGAAACATTTCCAAAGTTAGCATGGTATTTTTTTTTTTTTAGATGAAACTCAACCTCTTTTTTTCGTCCGCCCAAATTTTAATGGAACTCCTTTTTACTTAGGCAAGTTAGCCATACTTCAGTTAATTATTTCTATTTGTCTGGATATCTAGTATAATCTATCCGTACGTTTGTATGTTTTTGTCTTCGAAGTTCAAGGTTTCTCTGCCTACTCGTACATTACCGGCAGTAAGTCTTAAGTAAGGTATGTATGTTTACCTATAGTTTATGCGCTTTTACATCCATGTTCATTATATAGTTAGCTGCATTGTGTATAGGCCTGACACAACTTTGAACTGAAAGCAATACATGTAAGTAAGCTTATTTAAAAACAGCCTTCTCGGTCAATCTTAAACATGAATGAGCCAGTGTAGGAGGAGAGCTATCTATGAGAACTCCACAAATTCAAGCATACTACACAACTTAGGGATTCAAACTGGACTGTTCTGAGTGTGCACTCATTCTGTTAACCTATTCTATATAGATGAGGTGTCTATCGTTGTCAATTCATAGGTTTGTTTGTTAGGATGGCTAAGTGTCCATTTTCCATTTGATTTCTTTTGATAAAAGCTGATATTTTGTAAATGATAGTAATCTGAATATTCAGTATCTCCGTCAACATACTTCAGATTATTTTGGAAGCGGGCCACTCCGAACCCTGTCTGTTAGTGTTAGGGTCAACTCAAGGCTGTGCGGGATATAACAACCCAACATGATACAGAAGAAGATACACGTACATGTAGCCTAGGATTCTTGATAAAAATAATTCCCCCATTTGTGAATCGAGCTCACATCTTTTGTGAAGGCTACAATAATGAATGGCCTGTTACACCAATATAAAGCCATCAGGCCTGCACGACAGAAACAGATTTTGACAAACTGGAGAAAAAAAAAAACCAACTTTCTTCATCCGCCCATGTGCATCCAGCGATCTTCAACCACAATGCAAATACAACAAAACATACAAGCACAACAATACCTTGTGTTCTACAAAAATCCACAATTTCCTATGAGTAGGATTTACTGTTATTCCAGGTTGTCTGGAATCCCACGAGAAGTGCTGCCTGCCCCCATATGTGTACTTTGCCAGTTCAAGTCTCAGGCTGGAGCATCTGGAGAGGAGTTGAACCCTAGTACAAAGGCCACCATCGACTTCTACCCTTGATTCGATATATAT